GTCATGACAAAACACTAAATTTAAAGAAGCATTAAATAAACAAGTCTAAAATTTTAATGTGCCTGAAGAAAGATTCTCAGTTTTCAAAACTTCCATTCTTTCTTTGTCTAACATATTACATATCATAAGCATCTTAATTGCATTCTGTTTTTGTTTTTTGATGATGATGAGGAGGATTTTGACAAATCTAGTAAATTGTGGCACTGTAGGTTAATGTGCTGAAGAGCAAGGTTGTTTGACATGCATCGTTGGTGGTTCAAACCGACCAGCTGCTCCTTGGAAACCCTATACAGAGTCGCTATGGGTCAGAATCGACTTGATGGCACTTAACAACAATAACAACAACAAGTAAATTGTGAAGAGATAAGTCAATTATGACAAAGTTAAAGAGATTACTTAGGGGAAAGCAGAAAAGTCCCCAATCTTCTTGAGCAGGCTGACGGAGACATTCAGAAAGTCTAGAAATGTGGGCCCAGATTTGGATGAAGGGAGGGCCTTCCCGAGTATGCATTTTACCGAGCTATTAGAAGAAATTTAAGGAACATAGAGCTGGGACCTGACGTTCCTTTATGCGGACTAGTAGAGGAGGCTAACAAGGTCTTTAATAACCATGATAAGGCTGAGAGGACAGAAAAATTGACAAACCGGTTCAACTGCTGGCAGTTGCTGTAGGGTGCCCAACTAATCTTATCTCTCTCCCACCTCAGGGAGCCCTCTCTGCCTATATCAGCAGAAGAAGTTTACAGGACAGCTGGAGGCCTCTGAGAGCTGGTAATCTTGATCATAACCACGCCACAATCGTGGACACATGGATCACTGGTGCCGAGAATGTCTGGAATGTCCTATAGCAGGGCGCCACGTTGACTCCCCACAGGGGAAAGACCACCCTGCCCCCCAGCCCTCCTGATGCACCTGGGGTTCAAGGGAGAACTGCATTAATAGTGCTCAGAGGTTAGTTATGCTCCTGATAAACAAGAACATCATCATCACTGCGGCCAAACCTTGGGTGTCTGTTGAGGAAGAAGGTTGTTGTTACTAAATGCCGTTGAGTCGGTTCCAACTCATAGTGACCCTGTATAGGATTTCCAAGGAGTGGCTGGTGAGCTTGAACTGCTGATCTTGCAGTTTAAACTGATTTTGCAGTTTAAACCGACCTTGCAGACCAGTGCATTAATCCGTAGCACCACACTAGGACTCCAGAGGTGAAAGGTAAAGACTGTTTTATTCATGTTAGACATAGGAACAACATTTTCCATATGGGGATGGAAAGAAAACTCCAGTCATAACCCTTGACTAAGCCATTGTGAGGCCATTTATAAAGATAAATAATTTCTGTATGCTTTTGTTCACATGACTTAATGTACAACACTCCTGAGAGAGAGAAATTTCCTTCTCAAATTAGGGGCCCAGATCTGTAAAACAAAAGCACACTACCTGGAATTCTTGCTGTCCCAGAAAACTAGGACTTTGATTCCAGAAATATAAGATATCATTACTAGGCTGAAGGTCCCTTCAATTAAGAGACAGACAGGTGAACCCTGGGAATGGCAGGGTGCTATAGGATTTTAATCACTAATTTTAGTCTTATTGCAAACCATTATATGAGGCCCTAAAGGGAAAAGAGAAGATATTACATTGTGGTAGCAGGATTTACGATTGGGAGTGTGGTTGGAATGGGAAACTTTCAATTGTACTTTTTCTATTTTTCTACTGCTATCATGAATCATTTTGACAACAAAATACACTCAAATAAACACTTGCTGACAGCAGCTGCTTCTGGGTATGTTGTTGTTGTTAGGTGTTGTTAAGTCAGTACCGACTCTTAGCGACCTTATGTACAACAGAATGAAATACCGCCTTGTCCAACACCAATCTCACAATCGTTGCTATGCTTAAGCCCACTGCTGCTACCACTGTACCAATCCATCTTGTTGGTATTGTGTAAAAGAATCTTGGACATAGGGAGAAATTTAGGAGTAGAGAGTATAGGATTGTAGGTGGTAACTAAACTGCTTAAATTTTATCATGTTTGTGTATACTTAAAAATTAATATAATAAGAGGGAGGTTGGCAGAGAAAAGATGAAGTTTGCGGAAAACAGGGAAGAGTGCAAGAATGAATAAAGGTAAATACTGTTAAGTGATGGTACATGGAGGGGATTGCAATCATTGTAATGACACAAAGTATGATTTGTTGAATGTGGGACCAATGATCTGGTCTGTAAACTTTTACTCAATTCACCTTAAAAAGTTTTTTGTTTTTTTTTTTTATAAAAAATCAATGCATCAATAATATAGATGAGTCTCACAAACATAATGTGATGAAAGAAATCATGCACAGAATACATATTGTATGATTCTATTAATGGAAAGTTTAAAATAGGCAACATCAGCATATGAGGTTAGAAGTCAGGATAGCTGTTACAACTAGGGAACCACCAGCAAAGGAAGACAACAGGGCTTTCTGGAGTGCTGGAAACATTCTGCTTCTGTATCTGGGTGCTGGTTACAGTTTTTGAAAAGTCACCAAGCTGTACATTTCCTGTATGCCTATTTCAGTAAAAAGTTTAAAAATGCATCAAAGGTCTAATGTAGAGAATGTAGGGGCTGTTGTTGTTCAGTAACCCTGCAGAAAAAACCCCAGCAGCAATGGGAGCTGTGTGCTTCCTTGCCACCAGGAGAAAAGGGATTTCTAACCAGCAGTTTGGACAAGAATAAGGTTCCCATTAATTGGCCCATTTGGGTCACATCTAATCCCTGCAACATGATTCAGAAATAGAAGGTGTTGAGTGGTTTAGAACTCATCCTTGGACCTGGAATGGGGTCAGCTTCCCTTACCTACAAAATTCTAGGTACTTTCAGGAAATTGAAAATCACTGGGAGAATGAATTCTGGTTCAATGACCACAATGTGCACTACAATGTCTTATCAGTTAGGAATTTGGAGTTTTCAGCAACAAAAAACAACTTTTTGCTCACCCTAGCAACAAAAAAGTAGTGGGTAGCTCACAGAGTGAAAAGAAGTGAACAATGAGGAATTGGGAAGCACAGAAACTAAGGCAGATAGTTCAGTATCAAGCGCATAGCTAGTCTTTTTAGAGTATTGCCAGAAATGATTCCATTTCAACTCCCTTTCACCAGGCATCACTTTGAGTCAATTTCTGCAGACAGAAAGCCGGATTGGCTTGGTTACATGAGCACCTTTTGCTATTGAGGGTTGTGTACCACGATTGACAGCAATGAACCGGGAAATCGGAGGTTCCCTAATAAAAGTTAATTCATCCAGTGCAGACACCAGAGGACAGAGTAGAACTGCTCCCTGGGGTTTCCGCGATTGTATATTTTTATGGAAATAGTCTCATCTTTCTCCCGCTAGCTGAGGCCTGGTGGTTAGATTTGCGGTTTGCAAATCTAACGCTTAACCCATTGTGCCACCATGAGACTAAAGAAAGTCTGAGTGTTATTAGAAGGTATTGTTGTTGTTGTTGTTAAGTGCCATCGAGTGACCCTGTATAGGGTTTCCGAGGAGTGACTACACATGTTATTGTTGTTAGGTGCCATCGAGTCGATAGGGACTCATATCGACCCTATGCACAACAGAACGAAACACTGCCCAATCCTCGGCCAACCTCACTACTGTTGCCACGCGTGAGTCCATCGATGCTGCCACTTGGCCAATCCATCTCATTGAGGGTCTCCCTCTTTTTCTCTGACCCTCCACCTTACCAAACATGATATCCTTCTCCAGTGACTGGGCCCTCCTGACAGTATGTCCGAAGTGTGAGAGATGAAGTTTGGCATCTTGGCCTCCAAGGAGCACTCTGGGTGCACTTCTTCCAAAACGGATCTATTGGTTCTTTTGGCAGCCCATGGCACTTTCAATATTCTCCTCCAACACCATAACTCAAAAGCACCAATTCTTTTACGATCTTCCTTATTCACTGTCCAGCTTTCCCATGCATATGAGGTTATTGAAAATAGTGATAGTTATTTCATTGAATGTCCAGAAATGTATTTATTTAACCCAATAATGAAATCTGGGGTTGAAAGGAGCAGAGAAGGAGTGTGGTGGGGAGTGGGTCCAGGCAACAAGGCAACCAACCATCCGAGAACTTGCAGAGAAATAAACGTCCATGTAGTCCCTGCTAGGAATGTGAGTGGAGGCCTTTTAAGAACAAAATAGTAATGGCACAAGGATAGACACACATGTAAACGAACAAATAATGTGATAGACTAGAGGGCCCAGAAACAGACGCAAGTATGTATATACAATAATGTCATATATCGAGTATGGCATTTAAATCGTGCTGGAAATGTAGCAGTTTAACAGTCTTGGCATCATCAATTGTCCATCTTCTAGGCCCAAACTCATACACACACACGAATAAATTCCAGATATAATAAAGATTTAAATTTGAAAAAGAGAGAGAGTGAATATTTGATTGAAGGCAAAAAAAACCAAACAAACCTTTGCTACTACGGAAGCCGAGAAAGTGGAAAGGTGCATTTCATCCTCTCCAATGGGTTCCCACGACCTACGTCACGGAAGAGTCAGCCAATGGGAATTGGGCATGTGAGGCGCCCTCAGCCAATGGGGCCAGGGCGGGAGATTTGAAAGTGCCGTGAGGCAGGACAGCCTGATCAGTCGTTTGCGGGAGGTTGGGAGAACAGCTACGGGCTCCAGGTGAGCTGGTTCCCCCTTCCACGGGCCTTGCGCCGGGAGAAGACAGGTGATCGGGCAGGACTGGGGTCCATTGGGCGGGCCTGCGCGCATTCTGCGGGACTACTAAGCGCACCAAGCTAGAAAGGGGGTCCTGGAGGGATGGGAGCTAGTTACTGGGCGGGACGACCAGGCGAGTGCCGGGATGACCACTACTCTGGCTAGTGTGCTGACCCGTTCCTTTCCACCAGTCCCTGGCCGGCGCTTCCGGCTAGATAGGCCAGACCCCTCCCTCTTCCGCTCCTGTTTTCTTCTCACTGCTGTTTCCCTCTTCCCACCCAGCTCCCCGCCCCCTTTCCCTCTAAGGATGGCCCTGAAGGAGAACGCCTACCCCTGGCCCTACGGCCGGCAGACGGTAAGGCCCTTTCTTCTCCCTCCTCCCGCTGTCTGCTTGGCGAGTTCCTGCTTGAAGATTGTCTCAGGCGCCCAGTCCCTGCTTTGGGATCCTGCAGAGACCAATCCTCTTAGCACTTTCTTCCCTACTACGTACCAGCGTCTGGGTCCTAAGAGTTTACTAACAGAATCTGGTTTAATCTTGTTGCAGGGCCACATCCTGTGTTAATGAACTTGAGTCTGACCAGTCCCGGGCTCCCTTACGGGGCTCAGGGCTCACAGCCTACCTGTCACATGCAAGTGATACCTGGGACTGAGCTTCTGGCCTGAGTCTGGGTCTGGCCTTCAAGCCATGATTCCCTACTCTTGTCCTGAAAAAATAAAGCTAGACAGGAAATAAACTCTAAAGGAATTTAGATAAGGTTAACTGTTTAAAAGGTCAAGGACAAGCCTAAATTAATCACTTAGAATTTATTTTAATAACTAGTGTGCACTAAGGATCTCAGTAGATTATTTTCTAGATGGTTGGCCAGTTGTCCCAACACCTCTCAACGAAGATTCTGCCTTCTGATTTTAAATGCCACCTTTATATTTTCATTTGTGACATATTGTTGCTAAATGCTGTCAAGTTGGTTCCAACTCATAGAGACCCTGTACAGGGTTTCCGTGGAGCCACTGGTAGATTTGAATTACGGTGATTTACCAGGGTCTGCTTTTAAACTAGTTTATTTGTTGCTGTCTTGGGACAGGTTTTTAAGGGCACTAAGATTTTCTTCCTCTCTTGGCTGAAGAACCCCTGCACTGGCTTAGCTCCCTTGTTGATGAGAATTAGGCTTTAAGAGATTCATCTGTCACAGTGCACCAGCTCCTTCTCTCCTGGAGCACTTAGTGAGGTTGTCAAGAGTGGAAGCTGAATGGGAAACCATTGCCACCTCTCCACTGGTCACTCCCAAAAGAAAGCTGTATATATATATATTCACCTGGGAAGTGGTCCCAGGCCACACAAGTAGTCTTCAATGTTTGGAAAAGGGATAAATATTGGCATTTGCTGCAACATTCAAGATTTCAAGAACCTTATTTAAACTTTGGGGATTGTGAGAATGGCTCTGTGCTAAAACTCCTTGGATTGTGGATCTTCATTGCCCTAGTCCTCTACTGCTTTCCAGGGGGTGGAGCGTGGGCTGAGTGACTGAATGTAGTGTTATAGACAGGACTGTAGAAGTTAGAGAGCTTCATGCCTGAGAATGGGGTGTGCGCCAGGGTCAAAGAGGTGAACTATTAGGTGTTGAGTGAGTCCTATACCCTCATCAAAGGTCAGCTTAATTTGTTTTTTGATAACACATTTTAATCTGGTGCTCTGAGCAGAATGTTGGGTTGGGTATCAATGGGCCTCTTTGAGTTGGGGGATAGGTGGGTGTGGGACTCCAGAGCCAGTAGCTGAAATGCTGCATGCAGCACATTCCAGCCTGGTCACTAGGACAAAGGCGCCTCAGAGCTACCTCCTGCTCCTTCTCAGGCTCAATCTGGCCTAAACACCCTGCCCCAGAGAGTCTACCGGAAGGAGCCTGCCACCCCATCTGCGCTTGTCCTCATGAACCGCTCCAATACCCACCCTACAGGTAACTCAGCCAGGGGAGGATTGACCTCAAAGAATCAGAGCCTGTGGGAAAGGTGCAGGGATGAGGTGGTCAAACAAGGGCCTCAACTTACCTGTTCACTCCTTAGCTGCCCCTGGCCAGAAGAAAATGGTGGAGAACAGCAACGGGACACCCAGCTGTTTAATGTAAGTGCCATAAGCTTTGGGATGGAAGAGAGGTGGTGGGGCAGTGAGCCGACAGAAAATGAGAGGTAAAACCCAGGGAGGGACAGGAGGAGTGGTGATAAGTCTATGCTCAGCTATCTTTAAAAGAGAAATAGGGTTGAGAGCAAGATGAACTGAGGTAGTGAGGAAAAAGCAAACACTTTAAATGACAAATAAACACATGTCACCTCCAGGCACTGAGTGGCTTTCCCCTCTACTTTCCAAACAGGAAGACCTTCACAATTGAGGACTTTGAGATTGGCCGTCCCCTGGGCAAAGGCAAGTTTGGAAATGTGTACTTGGCTCGCGAGAAGAAAAGCCACTTCATCGTGGCCCTCAAGGTCCTCTTTAAGTCTCAGATCGAGAAGGAGGGTGTGGAGCACCAGCTGCGCCGGGAAATCGAAATCCAGGCCCATCTGCAGTACGGTTAACACCTCTCACTCAGAGCAAAGCTCCTCTGCCCCTGCTCCTTCCCAAGCTCCTCTTTCCACTCTGCCACACCTAGACTGCTCTCTCAGCAGCTGGGTCCAGTGCGCTCTCTGTGTCCAGAGCCTTGAATCTGGAGAGCTACCCCCATCTCCACCTGTATCCCCTTAACACTCCCAGCCCTGCTGTCCTGTTTGTCCCATATGGGACCTGTCATTTTCCCACACCAAGATGCAGCCTGGGGCTTCTCTGTTCTTCCTCCAGGCATCCCAATATCCTGCGTCTCTACAACTATTTCTATGATCGGCGGAGGGTCTACTTGATTCTGGAGTATGCTCCCCGTGGGGAGCTCTACAAGGAACTTCAGAAGAGCCGTACTTTTGACGAGCAGCGAACAGCCACGGTCAGGATGGGTGGGCACCCAGGTCTCAGGCAGGGGCTGGAGATGGGATGTACTTCTCATGGTTAGGAGGTATGTCCTTTCCTCACTGTCCTTGGTCCTTCTAGATCATGGAAGAGTTGGCAGATGCATTGATGTACTGCCATGGAAAGAAGGTGATCCACAGAGACATAAAGCCAGAGAATCTGCTCTTGGGGCTCCGGGGAGAGCTCAAGATTGCTGACTTTGGCTGGTCTGTGCACGCCCCCTCCCTGAGGTATGGTGGACAGGTGTGAAGTTGAAAAGTTCAAAAGAAAACCACTCCTAATCTTGTTACTATTATCCTGAGAAGCTTGGGTTTGTCCTAATGCAAATGTACCAGTTCCGGTCAAGTCTGTTCCAAGTTAAAGGCAACTTCATAGTGTGTCAGAGAACTGCTGCTTCCATGGGGTTTTCGATGGCTAATTTTTCCAAAGTAGATCACCAGACTTTTATTCTGAAGTTCCTGTGGGTGGAATCTAACCTCTAACCTCTCAGTTAGCAGCTGAGCATATTAATCATTTGTGCCCAGGACTCCAAATAGAGACTTGGTGGTGGTTATGTGCCGTGGGGTCTGTTCCGACTCAGACTGACCCTGTATAGGGTTTCCGAGGCTGTAAATCTTTATGGGAGCAGAAAGCCTCATCTTTCTCCTATGGAACAGCTGGTAGTTTCCAACTGCTGACCTTGAGGTTAGCAGCTCAACTTGTAACCACTATGCTACCAGACATGTCTTAACAAGGACAGGCGACTCGGAGTTTTGTTGTCCCAGATTTTACTCACTACCCATCTATTGGAACTCTTCCCACATCATCAGTTTTAATGGCTTGATAGTACTGTAAAATAGGGATAAGTCAAGCATTCTTGATAAGACATTTGAGATGTCCTCAGTGTTTCCCTTAGTTTCAAGATGAACACTGCCCTTATATCTGATTATTTTATTAAGATACTTCCCTTAGGGTGAAAGTATAGGGACTCTGTAGGCCCCCAAGGAGCTCTGGTAGCGTAGTGGTTACAAATCGGGCTGCTAACCTCGGGGTCAGCAGTTCGAAACTACCAGAGGTTCCACAGGAGAAAGATAAGGCTTTCTGCTCCCGTAAAGATTTACAGCCTTTGAAAACCAATGTGGGTCGCTATGAGCCAGAACCGACTCCACGGCACCTAGCTACCCCCACCACCATGTAGACCTCCAGTCTGGGGCTTTGATTTATAGTCTCCCACCCAATCCCAAAGGACTAAGATTGTCCACACCGCACTGGCCTGTTGAAGCCTGATTGGACTGCTCTTCTGCATAATGGGGACTCTTGGCTTCCTACTGTTAGGCAGGGAAAGGAGAAGCTGTTGGTCTCTGGGACCCTTGCCCACTCTCTGCACCCTGGCACCCAGGAGGAAGACAATGTGTGGCACCCTTGACTACCTACCCCCAGAGATGATTGAGGGGCGAACACACAATGAGAAGGTGGATCTTTGGTGTATTGGTATACTTTGCTACGAGCTGCTGGTGGGGAACCCACCCTTCGAGAGCGCTTCACACAATGAGACATATCGGCGCATCGTCAAGGTGAGGGTGCTGACTTGGTGCCTAGCTGGGCTTTATGCTGACTGCAGGGACCAGGACCAGGAGTGGCAGAGTGAGACCAGCGGTGTTCTACACAGCTCTCTGAATAGTGTGGGCAGTGAAGGAAACTGTAGCCAGATTGAAACAAATAGGTCTGTCCTTTCCCTTCTCTACTTCTGCAGGTGGACCTGAAGTTCCCCTCTTCTGTGCCCCCAGGAGCCCAAGACCTTATTTCCAAGCTGCTCAAGCATAACCCTTCAGAACGGCTTCCCCTGGCCCAGGTGGCAGCCCACCCTTGGGTCCGAGCCCACTCTCGGAGGGTGCTACCTCCCTCTGCCCATCAATCTGTCCCCTAAATTGTCTGTCATTTACTCGGTGTATCTGTGTTTGTACGTCTGTATTTTATATGTAGAAGGAAGGAGGAGGAGTCCCTGGCCTGTTCCCATATCTGCCTACTACCTCCTTTTTATTGAATAAAGGCTGCAGCATTTTATAATGGTGTTTTTAGATGTTTGTAGATGAAGGAAGCTGTCTCCTCTGGGAAAGAAGGGGGTTGGAGGTTACCCATCCAGGATTCTGGGGATACATCCCTGCCGCGAGTAACACCTGCCTTTTCAGCTGCGATACCTACCAGGTCAGCTTTCAGACTGGTCAGACAGGTCAGCTCACCTCATTGTCCTTCCTTTTCCTGAATCTGGCTCCTAGGGCCCAGGGGGCTAAGGATCCTTAGCTACCCCAGCCTGACTTGAACTTCAGCTCTCTGCCCACCTTCTCTTACATCTTGTTTTCTCACGATCATCTGATCTCTAATCCTTCTCCCTGTTCATTCCCTACCCTTTTGCCAACGTAGGAGGAATTGAACATTGCTGTACCTTAGAGGTCTTTTTTGATTAGTTCTACTGTCCTGGTTAGGATCACTAATAGTGCAGGGGTGACTACAAGCAGTAGTGATGGGGTAGCCTTTTCTGGTTCCTGCCTTTGGTTTTATTGTTAAGTATGGTGTTCACTGTCAATTGGATTGTTTTTCATTGTAAAATACACATACACAAATTTTGCCATTTTAACCATTTTCAAGTGGCATTAGTCACACAATGTTGTGCAATTATCATCACTAATTGTTTCCAAAGCTTTACATCTCTCCAAACAGAAACTACACCCATTAAGCAATAACTCCCCATTTCTTCCTTTCCTCAACCCCTGGTCACCAGTAATCTACTTTCTGTCCCTGTGGATCATGTAACATTTGTCCTTTTTTATCTGCCTGTTTCACTCAACATAATGTTTCCAAGATTCATCCATGTTTGTTTGGAACATTTTATAAGGTTCAGGAAGACCTGTTCTTCATTTCCTAAACATTTGTTTTTATTTTTTGTAAAAATTTTTGTATCATAAATAGACACTGACTTTCATCAAATGCTTTTCCTATATCTATTGCTTATTGGCTTCTTTAATCAATTGTACATAAATAAAGTTTCTTTTAATTTTATCCCAGTTATGTGTGTGTATTAGTTTCCTAGGGCTGCCTTAACACAACAAAAATGTATTCTCTAGAGGCCAGAAGTCTAAAATCAAAGGTATTGGCAGGGACACACTCACTCCAAAGCCTCTAACGATGAATTTTTCCTTGCCTTTTCTGGTTTCTGGTGGTTCCAGGTGTTCTGTGACTTGTGACCAATCTCTGTGCCTCTGTCTATACATGGCCTTGTCTTCTCTGGTGTCTCTCTCCATAAGCCTCTTAAAAGGTCACTTATTTGATTTAGGGCCCACCTAGATAATGCAAGATGATTTGATCTCAAGATCCTTCATTACATCTGCCAAGAACCTTTTTCCAAAGTCTTAGCTGTTCTCTTTTTGATGTTTACCATATAGGTACAGATCACATCTGTTTTGCTATTTTGAGGCATTGTCTATTTTTCTAAAATATGTATATTGTTAAAATATACATATTTGCCTCTTTCACCCGATGGTGGTAGTGATGTGCTGTGAAGTCAGTTCTGACTCATAATGACCCTGTACAGGGTTCGTGAGGCTGTAAATCTTTATGGGAGCAGAAAGCCACATCTTTCTCCCATGGAACAGCTGGTAGTTTTAAACTGTTGACTTTGAGGTTAGCAGCCTGATCCGGAACCCCACTACATTACCAGAGCTCCTTAGTTCTGACTTAGAAACCCTTTTAAGGTTTCTGAGACTGTAAATCTTTCTCTTGGGGAGCATCTGGTAGATTTGAACTGCCTTAGCATCCCAACTCAGAATCCACTAGGTTACTAGGGCTCCTGCCATACCATAGCCACCAAAATGTATAATTTCTGCCTCTGTATCCTTCCAACGTAACTATATCAGAATTGTGGTTATAGGTAGTCATTTAACAATAGTTATTGAGTATCTTCTACATTCCAGACACTGTTCTAGGTGATGGGAATATAGCAATGAATAAAGGAAAACGTCTCCTGTGCTTACTAGTTTAGAGTATCAATATCCAGTGTGTACATTATGCCTTAGTTCCTGTGTGGTTCAAACCATTTAATGTGCTTCTCTATGGTGCTATAGGGTAAGCACTGGGCTGCAAGGTGGTTTGAACAGCACGGTTGGCAGTTCAAATTCAGCCTCTGAAATCCTATACAGGGTCCCTATGAGTCAGAACCAACTCAACAACAACTAACTGAAAGGTGGAAGGTTTGAGTCCATCCAGAGGTACTTCAGCTTGTTCTGCTGAAAAATCAGCAATGTGTCTTGTTTTCCCCTTCCTCCCCAGCCTCTTGGCACCCCCACCTGCACTGCTGGGTTGTCTCCACATGGGGCTGAGTGCCCTTCTCTCCCCCTGCATCCTGCTGGGGCACTCTCTGTTCCAGAGGAGGAGAACGGTGCCAAGTGGTGGGGGCTACTCATAGTAGCACTCTCCCAGGGAGGGTCGAGCAATGCCCTTGGGTTTGAGTGGGAAGCCCCTCTCCCTGCCTCCAGACACAGACAGACTTCTGCACCGGTTTTCCAGTCCTCTGCCTCCTAACCCCAACCCTTCCCAATGGGTTGAAAAAAATCAGTCATGGAAACCTCTATGGAACACAGTTTTATTCTGACACATGGGATCACCATGAGTTGAAATTGACTATACAGCAACTGGTTTTACTGGTTTGTAACTATAAGCTTACCAGTCAAGTTGGTTCATGTGGCATTCTGTTCTTTTCCTTCCCTATAGGTAAATGTCTTGTCCCATTTTGCTCATTTCTGTATGTACAGATTAATCCAGCTTTAAATTCTTTCCTAGTTTAAGTACATAAAGTTGTAAGCATCTATGGAAGTATCACTTCATCTGCATTACACAAGGTCTGATAGTGTACTTAGCTATTCTGGTCTCAGCATTCTCTAAAAATTTCTGCTTAATGATTTCTTCTCTGATCCAGAATATTTCAAGGATGTTTTGAAAATTCCTTCTCCATTAACTGGTCCCTCCTGACAGTATGTCCGAAGTGTGAGAGATGAAGTTTGGCCATCTTGGCCTCCAAGGAGCACTCTGGCTGCACTTCTTCCAAAATGGATCTATTGGTTCTTTTGGCAGTCTGTGGCACTTTCAATACTCTCCTCCAACACCATAACTCAAAAGCATCAATTCTTCTAAGGTATTCCTCATTCACTGTCCAGCTTTCGCATGCATATGAGGTTATTGAAAATACCATGGGTTGGGTCAGGCACACTTTAGTCCTCAAGCTGACATCTTTGCTCTTCAACACTTTAAAAAGGTCTTGTGCAGAAGATTTGCCTAATGCAATATGTCCTTTGATCTTGACTGCTGCTTCCCTGAGTGTTGATAAGTGATCCAAGAAGAATGAAGTCTTTGACAACTTCAATCTTTTCTCCCTTGATAAGAATGTTGTTTATTGGTCCAGTGGTGAAGATTTTTTTCCTTTACATTGAGATGCATGGTGAGACCATGCAAATAGGGGTATTTTGTTGTTAAGTGCCTTAGAGTAGGTTCTGACTCATAGTGACCCTGTATAGGGTTTCCAAGGAGTGACTGGTGAGCTTGAACCACCGACCTTATAGTTCAAACAGCTTTGCAGTCTGGTTCATTAACCCACTGCGCTACACCAGGACTCCAAATAAGGGTATAGAACCTGTGATAGCTGGGGTTCTGTGCCAATTTGGCTAGGCTATGATTCCCTGTATTGTGTGGTTGTCCTCCATTTTGTCATCTCAAGTAATTTTCCTCCATTGTGTGTTGTTAAAAACAACAAATGTGTTAATGAGGCAGGATTGGGTTATTTGAATGAGAATTAGGTTGTCTTTTTATGTTGATGAGGTAGGATTAGGGTGGGATACACTCAAATCACCACCCTTGCTTGAGTGACATTTTATCTTACAAGCAATAAAAGCAGAGAAAAGTGAGCTGAGCTAAGGGAACAAACTATCACCAAGAAAGAAAAACTGGGTGTGTATTGTGTCTTTTGGACACAGGACTCGGGTGCTGAGACCCTCCTAGACTCAGGAGACAGAGAGAGCTGTAACACTGGAAACAGTGAACATCAGTGGCTGCAGAGCCAGGACGCTGACAGGAGACGCAATGGGATTCCCAGCCCACAAAGGGAGAAAACTGAGTTCCTTTGGGGCAAGGGGCTTGCTGGCGGAGTAGAGTGGCTCTGGACACTCATGGTAGTGGTGGTTATGTGCCGTGGAGTCGGTTCCGACTCTTAGTGACCCAGTACCTCTTCATCTTTCTCCCTCAGAACAGCTGGTTGTGTCAAACTGCTGACCTTGAGGTTAGCAGTCTGATTCGTAACCACTACGTCACCAGAGCACCTCTGGACACTTGTAGTCAGAGCTAAAAGAGTTTTGTAACACTTGTTCAAGTAAAGCAGAGGCTGGACCAAGGAATTGAGAACTTGCCTGTGGACAGGGCTCAGAAGAGGCTGTCTCAATGAAAGAATCATTATATCCTGGTTTGTTCCAGATCCTGAATTGCACACCTGTTACTTTCCTAATAGTTCCTTTCTTAAAAAACCCCATATTCTGTGTGGCTATTGCTATGGGTTGGAATTGACTCGGCAGCACTTAACAACAACAACTGCAATGCATTATTGACTTAGACGCAGCAGAGAATTAAAGAGTGCTGTGAGAGAGATGGCTGATGTTAGACTTGGTAAAATGGTTAGAGACAGGAAAAAGTTCTGACAGCCACTTAATAGGAATCGGCCTTAGACTATTGATCTTGATTCTCCTTCTGCATTGTTAAGCAGAGGTGGTCAGATGCCTCCACCATGTTATTTTTACATCTTCCCTACCAAGTTTCTTAGGCAATTGTCTTGTGCTCTCAAACTCTGAGTGTTTGTTATACTCTGGGCTCAACTTCTCCAAGCCCCAAATTTGTGTTCTGTATTGTCCCTTTAATTTGGGACAATTAGGCAGGTTGGGAGAACAATTGAGCAGGTTTTCATGGACTAAGCAAGATAGAGATAAATAATGATATATGCACAACCTTGGAACAACAGGGCTCTGGGATA